ATCATAGAAGGCTATCAGATTGGTCAAGCATGATTTCCCCTTGGTGAATCCGTGGTGACTACACCTGATAACCTTCTTTTCCTCCACTTGCTTAGAGATGACATCCAGAATGAGCTGCTCCATCACCTTTCCAGGGCTGGAGGTGAGGCTGACCGGCCTGTAGTTCCCTGGGTCCTCCTTCTTGCCCTTTTTGAAGACTGGAGTGACACTGGCTTTCCTCCAGTCCTCAGGCACCTCTCCTGTTCTCCAGGACCTTTCAAAGATGATGGAGAGTGGCTCAGCAATGACATCTGCCAGCTCCCTCAGCACTGCTGGGTGCATCCCATCGGGGCCCATGGATTTGAGGGTGTCCAGTTTGTGTAAATGATCTCTAACCCTATCCTCTTGTCCTCTTTAACTTTTAAAGATCTCGTGTGTCACTCAGTCTTCAAAAATGAGGACCGTCAACAAAAAAGTCTGCGTTCAAACTCTTTGAATTGATTCAGCTGTTGAGGAAATAACGATGGCGAGAATGCATTACTATACCTGTTACTGTCCAACTGGTGAATGTTATCATGGAGAACAAATGCAGACCTATATGTCAGATCTTCCTCTGCATGAAAAAAAAGGGTTGTGGGAGGAACAACACATGAATTTGTATTGAAGTGAATGGGACTGAAAAGTTTGTCCATATGAATAGCAGATTGTCATCTCTGATTTTTTTTTTTTTTGAAAGCTGTGTACGTAGTCATTTGATGCCTGCAGTTGTTTTCAGTGGATATTTTCCTATTGGAAACGGACTTTGTGGTAGCTGCTTACTGAAAGGAAAACTTCATTGTTTGTGAATAAGCGCTAAAGTTTTTACAGGTAAATTACTTGGCTCGTAGGTGAAATAGTCCTTATTTTCTTTTTATTCTAATGTTTTTCTTTTCTTTTTAAAGAAACGATTGAAAGCAGCAGAAGCAGAAAGCAAGCTAAAACAAGTGTATATACCCAACTAGTAAGTATCTCCTTGTATTGTTTTGTTTCCTATTTCATTGTAGACGGTCTGGTGTAGCAGTTCCCATGGCCTGCCAGTATTATGTGTTTGCTTTAATTACATAATGCGAGGCATAGCTGAACAAACATGCTGAAGAACTATTAAATTAGGTTACCAGTACAACGAACCTTCTGCTGATCCCTGATTAGGCTTGAATTCCTTTGTGTTTTAGCTGAGTTGATGCTAACCACCCTGATGCTAATAAACAACTGGGAGTCCTGTGGAGGAAACCATGATAGCTCTGGTATTTCAAAGCTGGGTAGAACAAAGCAGCAGTCCTTGCTGTGTACTTACGCTGCTGGTTATGGGTGTGTAAAAGACAAAGCTGTTGCCACTCGTTGACCTTCCGCTTGTGGAACACAGGCTATTTCCTCCCCGGGCAGCCGAGGACTTTCCCTTTGGGGCTTTCCTGGTTAGGATGCTGTGCTGTCATGTTGCTCATTTCCTTCATCCTGTATAATCTTTCTATCCAGAAGCGACTGTTACTTATCTTCTATTTTTTATTTTTATACGGATTGGGAGTTGGGGACGTGGCAGCAGATCAGCACGGTCATGAGGAAAACGGTAGCTAATTAACTACTCAAGAATATATCTGGTTTTTATGAATTGTTGTCATCAGTGGATCACCAGCATGTGGTTGTTCCTAATGTCATTTAGATACACATAAATTTATATATGGACCTATATTAAACTTAATATATAATGAAAAATAGTACAAAAACATAGATATATATAAAAATTCTTACTGAAATGTGTTTCTTCTCTTGCATTTCCTCTGCATAACCCAGTTAACAGTTTTTACAGTGTGGAACTTTAAATCTCCCCTGTCCTTTCTCTTTTCAGCTTTCACTCCCAGATAGGTTCCCACATGTATTATCCCAAATGACTCCTTTATTCTTTTATGCTATCTGCTTTCAAATATTTATGAATTTCTACAGTGTGTGCTGTTACTTAAGACAAAACTGAGTTTTACATATTTAGCTTGCAAGACAATCCTTTATTTCTCTTGAAAATAGAGGATCCCTGATTCTTTTTTCTTTTCTTTGAAATATGTTGATAATCTTGCAGGTGAATTTACTAAAAATTAGGTGTAATATTCAGAGTGAAACGAAAGAGATTTCTTGTCATGCAATTTTTCAACAGTATTGCTTTTTGTGGATGGTGTGTCTCTGCAGGGGGACACAGGACAGCAAATTAAACATGAATTCACAATGTGATAAGCTTGTAAAGCAAAAGCCAATGTAATTTAGACTGCAGATGCAAAAGGATATTGCTGTTGCTCTTGGATTATAATGTATGTAGGTAGGGCTTTGTATCTGAAAGGTTGTGGTGCTCATTTGATAGTGGCTGTCTGGAGTGGTATCCTATCCCTCAACACTGTATCTCAGCAAAATAATTCATGTTGCTGTCTAAAGAATATAATAAAATCAGCAACTTGCCTCTCTGTTTCAGGAAGAGACTACTGTCTCTACCTCTGTTGTTGCTATTTTTATCTGTGGCTTTGATTTCCAGTCACAGTTGATTTTGTGAGTGTTACACCTTAACTTACTTATTGTTTAATTGATAAAGTGGGTGTCAAATTTTCCTCCTCCTTCAAGATCCTTTCATATCAGGAAAAGCAGCAATTGCGTATGTGACTTATTCCCACATGAATGCGTCTGCTTCTTTTTTGCTATTGATACCTCCAAATGTGGCAACAATTAAGTATTTCTAATATTTTTTGAGTATTTCTACTTGAGTTTCAGTACAAGGTCTGGCACACAGGGAATGTACTGCATCTGCATTATCTTGTGACCTAGAAGAAGATTATATTCTTGGCCTGTAACAGCAGTATGTGGTGTAGGGATCTAAATATCAATGTTATTGATTTGTCCTTATCGTGTTACTGAGCCCATTCCTGTTTCAAGGCTTGAACCATAATGATCTACTTGTCACCTCAAAAATAAATTACTTGATGTAGGCTGTCACAAGACCTACGCAGAAGCGTATCAGCTGATTGAGCAAAACCTATTCTAACAATAACTGGTGTAAAATTGTTTGCAAAGAGAGACCCCGGAGGATATCAGACTGAAACAATTTTATCTTATTTTTGTCTCTGGCTGTCTTCCACTGATGGAACTCATGTTTGTTTGTGTGATGTTAATAGAAAGGGGAGGAAAATAAGAAGAAAAACAATAGAAGTGGTCTTCAAAGGTTATTTCTCTAAACCAACATCCTAGACATTGGAAAAACATTTCTGTCCTCGATGTCGGACAGATATTTCTGTGCTCCTTCCAGGAACAGCCCTGGGTTTGGGACAGACATCTGGAGGTGATGTGACTGAACCCAGTGTTTGTATGCTTGGCTTTGTAGTGCATCCCTCGGGCTGAAAAGCACTGGTGTGCTTTCCCGGTGGAAGGATGAAGTGTAAAATCAGTTGAATCCTGCATTCAGGAAATACTGAGAAAAATCTTTTAATTGTTTTCTGTAGCAATTTCTCTGTCAGTGGGAATGGTGTTAAATAAAGAAGCAGCAAGGAGCCTGAATGCCCAAAGAGATGCCATGTTCTTACACACTTCATCATGTCGTCCACCAGCGTGACGGAGTTTCTTGTTGCAGTTGTAGTCTCGGTCTCTTTCTAGTGTGTACCCAAACATATTCTTCAGACTGTTGTGGAAGCCATATTCCAGTTTTACTGAACTGACGGGCATCGCAGGTACTAGGTGCTGCTTTCTGATGACAGTGTGGTTGTGTAGCTGGTGCTTTTTGGGGTTGGGACATCTGCAGATCGTCAAGGCTGAGACATACAATTCTGTGTGGCTTTTCTCTCTGTTGCTTTGATCTAAGTGATGTCAAAAGGGGTCAGAACAGAAAGGAAAGAATGGAGTGCTCCACACAATCCCCACTCTCCAGAAAGTATTAATATAAAATGTAGGTTTTAAATTTACATCTAGATGTAAATGGATACATTCTACTTGCGGTATTTTTTCTGAGAATCTCAAAGCACTTTGACAAGCTGCAAATGCTGCCTTGCAAACACTTGTAAAGTAGGGAAATATTATTTTCCCTGCCCTGCCTCTTTTTTTATGCAAATAGGGAGACTGGAGGAATAGGTCAAAGCTTTGGATGACTACAAGGGGCAACTGCTTAACAAACTGAAGATAATTCCTTTGTCTGTTTGTTGTCCTCTGCCTGAGGAGCAAGAATTTTTTCCTTCTGTGGAGAACCGTGCAGAGGTCCAGTGCAACGTGGGAAACATAAAGGCGTAATGTCGTCCATTCTTGTGTAGCTGTGCTAGTTAAAATGGTGACCTTCGACATTTTGTTGGAGAAAGCTTCTCATTTTTGAAAAGAACTGTTTAGCAGTCATTAGACCTGTTCTAATAGAAGTGGGTGCTTACAGTAGCATGTGATGAGAGCTCAGCGCTCTGTTGTCTGGGTAAGGAATCCAGACACTTGGGTTATATGCCTAGGGGTAAATGGCATAAATGTTCCTTACAAAGGATTGAAAGTTACTCTTATTTCTGAGGCTTAATTTCTGAATTGTTCCGTTGCATCTAGCACCACTATGGTTTCCTGAGTAGTGCGGAACTGGTGGTGTTATAGTTATTTTTAACAACTAAAATTTTATCACTGTGCTGTGGTGACGTGCTAGCCACTCGTATAGTGAAGGGATTTCAGTGTTCTGCGTGGCTCAGGGTTATCTTCAGGTTGGGTTTTTTGGGTAGGGGCTTCAGTCCACAACGGGTGGCTTCCTGTGCCTTCTTTCTGCATGTGCTTCATCACCTCAATCTCTTTGGTTGAGACTGATCTCCTGCAGAATGCAGCCCAGAAGTCTGCGCTTTGTGATCCGTGTTCTAGCTCCAGTGCAACTGAAACCAGTTTGAGACTTGCATTCTTGATGTAAGAACTGGAAATGATAGTTTACTGCACATGAGTATTCCCACTACCTTATTTTTATCTTTCACTTCGGCTTCATTAATTGCCTAATGATTCATCCAGTTATTCATCTAATTTGCTTATTAATAGCTGTAGCAGGCTTTGGTGGTATCAAACAAGTTTAATTAACGTATCATCAACAATTAAGAGCTTTTTGCTTCTTGTATGATGAAGACATTAGCTGCCCGAATTTTGTTACTGCCGTGGTGAAACTTGACCTTAGCTTTGGAGCAGAACGCTTTCTGGTGCTTGTTGCAGCTACGTTAATTGTACTCTTCCAAAATCCTGAAGTGAAGTTACTGTCACAACTAAGTGTGACAATTCTGTGATCAGCGTGATTTGGTGATCAGCTTTCACCCCCACATCCCTTTCACTTGCATTTGAAATATGAGTTTGATAAGGGTTGTAGAGAGGACAGCGGAGTCAGGCCGTCGCCCTCCGTTCTGCAGATGATCTTAGACCTTTGGGTGTGCGTGCCAGTGCGTGCAGTCTTGTTCTCAACTTGCTGTTTACAACCAGACACATCAGGGCTTCCCAACATGCTGCTCAAAAAAACCCCAAACCTTTTTATGTGCTTTACTGGTGGATTTAAGGCTGCTTTACTCCATTTTTCAGAGGATAAATAAATGTACAGAAGGGAAGCAGCATGTCTCATGTTGAGCCGTAAGCTTAGGTTTCTTCAGTCTTCTGCTCTGTCTGCTGAGCGACACCGCTTGTGACAGTGTGCATCTGTGAGGACTGTTTGTTTTACAGCATCTTGGTAATGTTTGCACATGGAGTTTGCTAGTGAATCATTGGCAGAAGTTCTTTTGCAGCAGGTTACTATAGTGACATCCCAGAGAAAATGCTGGGTAGCATGAACGTACCCTCTGTCAACTTCCCCTTTGTTAAATGTGTCTGCAGGTCTCCTGCCATCAGTGGTGTCAGAACTTCGTGCCATTCTGATAAGCACCTCGAAACACTTCAATCTGTGTAAGAGCCGGGCGAATTAATAAGCAAAGGGAGAAGAAAACCTGATCAGGCTTGTTAATCCAAAACGCCTTTATTTTTTTTTCTCTTCTTTGCTTCTTTTGGGTTGTGTATGGGCTAATCAGTGTACGGAATGAACAAGCTTATTTACAGTGTTTGAGTGCCACGTAGCCTCCTAAGCTTTCTCTTCTGCAGAAAGGCCCTGAACTTTGCAGTGAGGAGCACTATCTGAATGCTATCTGAAGTTTTTCTGAGACTGGGCAAATGCTCTCTTACCTCCTTATGCAACATGTGTGGTCCTTGTAGGTCGTTCACAGCCAAATCTTTTTTGTCTCTATAGAAATGTAGCTGTACTGAGCTCTGTATCTCGGTGCCTGATCGGACATCTTCAGATGAGGAAAAGGATGACCTTCTGGCTTCCAGGGCAGTGTGAGCTTTCCAGTAGCATTTGGGTTTGTTCTGGAGCTGCAAGGGTCAGTTGTCTTCAGAATTCAGTCACTTGGAACTCTGCTTTCCGGAGTCACTGCTGAGAATGTGAAACCTAATATTGATGCCTCATTAGAAAGAAATTAGTTTGGCCATATTCCCACAATGCTGTTTTTGCAGCACTAGCCAGGGTGAAAAGTAGTAAGTATTCTGGGTCACTGAAATCACTGCGACTGCTGTGTCAGTGTGCAACTGATGTGCAAGTAAATGTGTTTTCAGCAAGCCATTTAAAGATATTTCTGCTTCAATAAGTGGATTCCAAATCATGGGTTTATTAGTTGGAAATAAAAGGGATATGCCCACTCCTTTCGGTCTGCAGGTAAGAGAATATGAGGGAAATGTAATCAGCACTACAGTCTGGGCTTATGTTCAGAAGTTGGCACCAACAGCTGCCTGTTTTTTGTTGCTTCTATAAGCTGAAGTCCTAACAGTACCTGGGAGTCCTTTTGTAAGTTCCTTGTGTATTCTTCTGTGAGACGTCTTGTGTGACTTCTCCCATCTTCCTCCATTCCCCAGAAGTCCTGTCTCTGCAATATCAATTCTCTGTCCTTTTTGTTCCTTCCCATGCCAAGGATTTTTTGAATGCCTCCCTTTTCCCCCCTTTGACACCTTTTCCTCTGCAGGGACCTTGTACTGTTCCATACTGCTCTCTATGCCAAGGCTTTATTTGCCCTTCCATTCTCAGCTCCTGCCAGTACCTTTTATTTTCCCTGAGTCAACATTTTTAAGAGAGCCATAGGGATGAGCTGAGGTGATTCAGATGTTATGTTAGAATGTATTAGTGACAGTCATCAGTGCATTTCTTGCTCTGTGGATGTTAAGCTTTCAGACATTCTCCATTTAGTAGAAACCTAAATGCTTCTTACTACAAGCGTGGACCATAGTTTAAGACTTGCCAGAAGGCTTATATTTGTGAATATCTGCGTATACACCATGTTCCAAAGATTCTGTTTGGTGTGTTGGGTGTGCGTGTGCAAATTGTGGCTACATGATGCAAACCTCTGCAGTGAGACAATGTGGAAATATTGGTGACTGCAGTCTAGGGTTATCTTTCCCTGAATAAGGCAGGGGTTGAGCTTTCTCCATCTACCTCTACTGCTTCTTCCCCCAAGCTTTTTTTTGGAGATTTAAGTAAAATATCACTCATGTTGAAGACTGAAAGAGATAAGATCTTTTTGTCACCTAGATTAGAATGTCTGGGATAGTGATACCTACCTGGCCTCGGTGGTTTATTGTTTTTAAAAGGTTTTTAACTCATGAAAATGGTATTTAACTATTATTATATTTATTTTTGCTATCGGCATTATTTAAATGTTATCGGAGACAGTGTGTTCATGGAAGTCACATTGCTGGTAAGTGCAGCTTACAGTTCTGGAAGCGAACTTTAAATCTTCAGACGTTTTAGGCCATATTTTTTAAAGTCACATAGGAAATTGTATGCCTCAATTAATGTTTGTCCTCTTTTTTGCTTTGTGTTTTAAGTAACAAGCCAAATCCCAACCAGATCAATGTAAATAATGTCAAACCAGGAGTGGTAAATGGTACTGGAGTACAGGCACAGAACACGGGAGCAGGACGGGCCTGTGAAAGCTGTTACAGTAAGTGACGTGCCAGTATGGCAGCTATGCACAGGGAGTGTGAGTGCTGTGTTGCAAACAGTAAAGTAAAAGCCATGTTGTGGCGGGGGGTGGGAGAGAAGGCTTTGGAAGGGTGGGGGCACAGTATTTGACATGGCAGCATTTAAGCAAAGGTGGGGATTTTTCGCTCTTACTGGTGTTATGTTCGTAAATATAATTATGAAATAGTTAAGGGGAAGTTAGTAAATGTCCTGTGTAATTGCAAGTGGCTGTTGAGCAAAGACTTTAATCACTGAGCTGTGAAGTTGACAATTTTTTCATAGTGTTTTAGTAGATTTCAAAATACGTGATATCTTTGTATTTGATCTACTGAGTTCTAATACTTCCCCTCCTTTATGGGGAGCCGTTAGAGATGCTCACGTGTAGGAGTGTGCGAGAAGTCAAGTCACAGATTTATCTTACGTACTTTTAGCCATAAAATTAATGTATGGGGAGTTCCTGAAGACAATCTGCGTTCTCCCTCCCGTGCTCTGCAGCAATTGTGGTCTACCAGTCTTGTAAAATGAGAGCTTTCAGTTTCATTGGCAGGACATTTTCCCATCCTACTAGTTGGTTTTTCTGTTTGTGTTTTGAAAGGATTTTATATGTGTAATTAATTTTGCTGAAATCGCAAGTACATTTAACAGTGCGGATGATGGTGAAGCCGTCGTCAGGTTTCTAAGATTTGTTTGAGCTTTGCACTGTCTTTGTGTGGGTTTTCTTTTGTGATGGTTCTAAAGAGAATAAGCTCTGAAAAGTGATCCTGTTTAAGGATATATATAATTTCCACCTTTGTTATCTCTAGCCACACAGTCTTACCAGTGGTATTCTTGGGGTCCCCCTAACATGCAGTGTCGCCTCTGTGCATCCTGTTGGACGTACTGGAAGAAATACGGTGGCTTGAAAATGCCAACACGGTTAGATGGGGAAAGACCAGGACCAAACCGCAATAATTTGGTAGGTATCTGCAAAGCAGACTGCTCGGTGCTCTTGCCTGGAAAGCTAGGTGCCATGATATCCAGCTAATTGTTCACTATTCTTAAATATTTAATGACAAAAAGAATGCCTTCAGCCTCCGTTGTTGTCCTCGGGTTTGGTATTTCAGGTCTTGCAAAAGTTGGCACGTTAACTTTGGCTATAAGTAATTTGTTGCCAAGTATTGCCCTGCGAAAAAAACCATCACTTGTTTAGCAAACTAGCCATCAAATGCATGGGACAACTTAAAGAAGGTGGAAAAAACTGAAATGCCACCCAGTGCTTCTGGTATGTGGTTTCTATGATTTTTGCTGCAGGGGGAAGATGATGTTTTTTCCCTCCCATGAAGGAATTCACCATTTCTTGAAACCTGTTCCCCTTGCCAAGGCACATTCAACATTAGATATCCCAAATAGCTAGTGGAGATCCCTTATTTTGTTTTTCTATTTCATCCTATTTTTTTTTAATTAGTCCTTCTTCCTTTTGGATAGGTTTGAGCAAGCATAGTACGAGCTGCTTCTGTTTAATTTTTCCACTTTTATTTAAAAAATAAATTCTCTGAATTTTTCTGCATTTGGTGGAAGTTCATTCTGGAAGCATCATACATTGAGCTGATCAGAAAAATTAGCTGCATCACATGGACAGAAGGATAGTGCACACTGAACTTTGGTCTTAGATTAATTTCTTTCATCTCTCCTAGTCTTTGCTATCATTCTCTTTCTATGCTATTTTTTTTGTTTATCCTCTGTCCTTTCCAGGCTTCTGTTTGCCCTCTGAAGCTACCTAATGGCTGAGATAACTGCCAGGTTTTATCAGCCTTACACCTCTTGTTTGTTAATTAAAAAGTGTGTAAATAGGTCTGTGAATCAGTAGTTGAAAGTGATTTTACATGATATTCTTTCTCTTCTTTAAAACCATACTTTGAATAATTATTTCTTAGAAATCCTATTTATTTTTCATTCTTTCTAGAGTCCTCATGGTGTGCCAGTACGAAACAGTGGGAGTCCCAAGTTTGCTATGAAGACACGACAGGCTTTCTATCTCCATACAACAAAACTGACAAGAATTGCCAGACGTTTATGTCGAGATATCTTGCGCCCTTGGCATGCTGCAAGACATCCCTATCTGCCTATTAACAGTGCAGCCATCAAAGCAGAATGTGAGTGGTGATGCAGCCGGGATCTGCTTGCAAAGGAGCCCTTTGAGATTCCTTTCCTATGAAGCTGGAGTTGCAGCTTCTTGAGATGCTCTCTTGCATGTAGCTAGCGGTTTCACAAAATCTAGCTGTACTCGCAGTGTATTCCAACTGATTGTAGGCTAGACAAATAACTCTGAAAATTCATGAGTTGTTTGTTATAGAATATTAATGTTTGCTATTACATTTAGCATTCTGCATTTGTACTGTTGCCAAGACATGCTTGCAACCTGTAAAATTCCTTTTGTTTGGAAAGCTCTTTTAGGACACTTGAGTTACTCATTTAGTTTTGTTATAATATTGAAATGTCTTTACCCTCTAATTATTTTTTTTTTCATTTTACAGGCACAGCACGTTTACCTGAGGCATCAGAAAACCCATTGCTATTAAAGCAAGTGGTTCGAAAGCCTTTAGAAGCAGTACTCCGGTATTTAGGTATTAAAAAAACCCAGACAACACCAAACACAAAAAACCCCAACCAAACGCAAAACTGTCTAGCTAATTCTACTAACGATTTCTTTTTGCATTTCGTTCTGGATTTAGATGCAGTTTCTGGATTAAAAACCAAACATGGAAACCTTCCCATGAACTTGGCCATTTTCATTTTTCTACCTGATTTGACAGACCTAGTGGCTCAGCAGTCCACTCTGGGCTCATGGAGCTCTGTCAGAAACTTTTTCAAGTGAAGGGAGGGACGTGTTTGCTGTGGCTTCTGATGCATGTAGGGGACAAGTTACCATCTGCTGGTGAAGGCACAAATGTAATGTTTTGGGAACAATTGGTCAGTCTGCTGTTCCAATTTTTGGGTTGTCTGGAGGCACTTCCTGCAGTTGGGTCTTCCAAGAAGCCGCTTGGGTTTAGGACAGCACTGTATCCCACAGCTTGTGAATCAGTTGTTGGGTCTTCTGCGCTTGAGCTAGGCAAGGGGACTATATTTACATTCTTTACTTTCTTCTAGGATGGGGAGGTTGGTGGTAGTTTTTTGGGGGTTTTTTTTATGGTTTTCTTGAGGACTTGGGCCTCATCAGCTGCTTTGTGGGGGAGTACTGAGTAGCTTTCTCCTGGACCTTGGTGTAAGTTTCAGGTGCTGGAAGAGGCCAGCTATGTGACATCTCAGCTCTGACCCCAAACGAATGCAAAATCTCTTTTCCTAGTGGTGAACAAGCGAATGCAAAATCTTTTTCCCTAGTGTTGCTAGAGATGCCCTGAAGACATGTCTCAGGTTGTTACAGCAGTCTAATGTGAGTCTAGCCACAGAAAGTTAGCGTGGACAGTGATACTTTGAAGGCTTCCGGATTAACAATGAAATGGATTGCCTTTTTACTCTGATAAGAAACACTGGAGTTGATTTTTATGTTTCTTTGAACACTTATGTTGATGAAATATTGTAAGGCTCAGGGTTTATTAAATATTTACTACTACTCTGACTGTTGTAATTCTACTGTGCACTGATGAGACACACAGATTGAGAAAACTTTGGATACCTATAGTGCAACCAAATAAAGCCAATAAAGGGAGAAGTTTCGCTGTTGGGTAAAATTCTACTTTTAATAGTTTTACAGAATGTAGCACGAGATTATGAGATTTCATTAGCGCTGTTCAGGGTCTCCATTTGGCTATTGAGCTGGGAGAAGGGAAGGAAGTGGAAGGAGACTGACGGACTGATGAGAAGGTGGTTTTGGTGGTGTCATGCTCAGTATGCTTGAAGTTACCTGTTGCTCGGTTGTTGGGGCTGCAAGAGAAAAACTCGGTTGAAGCTTCCATGTGCTGTTGCTTGTAACTTTTTCAGAATCTTCTCAGGTGAACAATGTGTGCTTGATCTCTGCTTCAGCCGGAAGCTTGAAGTCAGACTCTCTGTTCCTTATGTTGGTGGTTTGAATCCTCACTTGTTTGGCCAGTTTAGAAATTGTATTTTTTACAAACCTTGCAAAACTGGCAAAGCTGTAATTTCCCCAGAGTTTAGGGGTGTTGCATGACAGCCCAAAGATGGCTTTTAATATAGAGCAGCCCCCGGATGACCTCAGATTGTCAGAGAATAGTGTTCTGGAAATAGGTGTGAAGTGCTTTTGTTATCAACTCTTATTTTAGGATAATATGTTGCAATGAACATTATGGCATTGGTTTTAACATCTTAAGTAGAGGTGAATTCCTAAATATACTTAAAATGCTATATATAAATACCAATCTTCAGTCAAAATTATTGACTGAGATAGTTTGTATATAAGGGGAGGCATACTTGGTCACCTTGGATGTTTTCAGGTTGTAGGTTGCTTTCAGATTTATAATTGCAGTATCTAATAAAAAACCCCCTTGCTGTTTCACGACAGAGTCTCATCCATGTCCTCCGAAACCAGATCCTGCAAAGAGCTTGTCCAGTTCTCTCAACAGTCTGACTCCTGCTAAGTTTACGCCGGTCATTAATAATGGGTCCCCAACGATCCTGGGAAAAAGAAGTTATGAACAACACAATGGAATGGATGGTAAATATTTTTCTGCAAAATGTGTATTGTCAGCATAGGCTTTTTCTTCTATCCTTTCAGTGTACAAGGAGATTGTTTAAAATTATAGCTCTTCATATTAATTCAAAGTTTCTTATTCTTGGGGCTGGGGGAGAGGGTAACTTTTTCCTTTTGTAGAAGTTACTTGTCCCATTTCTCCTTCTGGGTGTGACATGTGGTGTGTACTGCCTGAGTGGTGTGTGCACATAAAGGTACTGTGCGAGTGGAACTCTGCCTAGCTTCACCAGCCTTGCAAATGGGATAGTGAGGGAGAAACTTCCCCTCCAATTTTTAAATGAGTACTAGGAAGGAAACCTTAATAGCTTTTCCTAGTGATGGTTCATTTTTCTTGAGGTTTACGGCTTTTTTTTAACCTGTAGGTAGTAGCTGTGCAGTTCCCAGGTCGCTTTGTAACGTGTGGATCACCTGGCTTTCAGCAAAGCTACCTGAGACTGCATGCCACTGAGAGAGGCAGGCTGCTGTTTAACTGAGAGAGGCAGAAGACGTGCCAGATCTGGCATGACATAAGCCTGCTCCTGCCTTTCGCAGAGCCAGAGCATTTGCTTTTGTTGCCCCTGTCACTGAGCACCTCTGTGCAGTGGAGTTGGGGCTTCATCTCCTCGAGAATAAAAGGCAAGGGGAAGGTGTTTGAAGTGGGAGATAAACGCAGGATGTTCCTGACACGGACTCCAGGGCTCTGTTCTGAAGAGTTGCTCTTGCATGAGGGTGTCGGGGAAGAGAACGTGCAGCCTTTTTCTCAGATGAGGATGAAAGGGGTCTGTTCAAATGGTCTTAACGGGAGTGAGAACATGGAGGGTAGCTCTCCTTAACAGGGGAAAGAAACAGTTGGTTTAATGGTGACTCTGGGCAGGAAGGGAGATACAGAGAATCCTTCTCATTTTTTACCTTTAGTTTTAACTTTATATGTAGCTTATCTGAAATATAATTACAAACATTTGATATCTTACTGTTCGTGTTTTAACATTAAGAACTTTTAAAACTGCTGCTGTTCAGGTTGCTGATGTGATGTTTTTCTCTTTTCTGTTCACTTATGCTCTATCAGGCAACATGAAGAAGCGCCTGTTGATGCCTAGCAGGGGTAAGACCTTGAAGCTGCGCTCAGCTTATGCTAGGAGAGTCATTTTTTTAGATTCATCTGCTGGCTTCTCTGTGCTTTGTGGCTAATGAGTCTGTGTGCACCTTCTGTGTCAATGTCTAAGTGTTCCTTGGGTAACCACTTCCACCCATGGTTATGCTGCTCACCTTCCAGGCTTTTGAGATGCAGGCGACAAGTTGTACAGCCGTACTGAAGACATGAAGTGCTATGTTCAGAATTGATTACTAATTCCTCAAGTTGATGGAACAGTTTTCTAGTGGTTTTGAGAAACTGCTGAAAGCTGTAATGGTTGGTTTGAAACTAGGTGTTGTTTCACTGTGGCTTTTAAGAAATCAGTGTTTCATGTGTCCTGAACTACTTCAAATTCACTTTGAGCAAAAGAAATAGAAGACAGTATTCATACAGAGTCCCAGGTTCAAGCCTCTCTATTGTCCACTGTGAGTGGACAGTCTCAACAGTGAGAGACTGTCTGCACATTCTCTTCTTGCAATAGAAATGGTTTTCAAAATTTCCACAGGTTAAAAACTACTCGGTTCTGGCTAACGAACACACCCCAGAAGCTTCATTTTTGATAATGCAGGAAACACTCATACCATGTCACTTAACCAAATTCAATAGAACAGACTAATTTTGAGTAGTTAGGATATACAAATGTCATTGCTAGACAGACAAACACTAAAACGTAAGCTTACATGTTGCCATAAAATGCCACACTGCATGCCCTGACGTGAAGCTATGTGTTTAATGGCTGAGACAGTGGATGACTGTTATCAATATTTACGTGCATGCGTATAGAAGTGCGTGTGGAGAATACAATAAGAATGAGGACAGTGATCTTTCTGCTGTCTTGCTGTCTTTGGGAATTTATGCCTTGATACTGTGTTGCTGAGTTCTTTCATGTGCTTTTAAACTTTTGTGTTTTGGGAAGAGTAACAAAACCCTGCTGCCTCAGTCGGTTTGGCTTCCTCGGAAGCTTTGTTCAGTAACGCGGGATGTAGATGCGGGGTAGCTCACTGAATTTCCACAATTCCTAGGGACTACCTGCTTATGGGCATGCCTGCTGCTCCCTGCTAAATGTCCTCATCAGCAAGGGGACTGCCGAGTCACTCGGCGGATGACACGCTCCTGGAGCTCTGAGATGTTGTGGCCCAGAGGAGGGAAGTGGAAGACCTGACTCTTCCCTCAGGCTCTCTCTGCATAGAGCGCTGAATTTGATAGCCTGAGATCACTTACTTACTGGCAATGGAGGGTTCTTGTTTTAGTGTTTTAAAACATCTGTCTGCTGGTATACATATTTAATTACATACATTTCAGTCATAATTGTTGCTGGAGTAGCTTGCAAAAAGGTGGTTTTGTTGAAGTACCTGTTCAGGCTGCTCAGAATATGTGTTTCTGTGACTCTCAGGGCTGGCTCTCATTGGGCGCCTGCTGCTTTGTCTGCTTGGTCTGTTCTCAGCCTGCCACTGAAATACTTGCAGTAGTACTTGTTCCTGTGACTGCCAGGTAGCGGAGTTACGAATCAGTCTCAGAATCTGTTTACCTGCTGGGGTGGTGAGTGTGAACTGGATATTCTCGTGAGCAGTTCAGCTTAAACTTGTTGATTGAGATTTATCTGTGAATGGAAAATGTTTGCCATGCTGCGGTTTTGACATCTGGAATGTTTTCTGGCTGTGGGTTCCTGGAAGCTTTGCCGAGACAGAGAGGGAAGGAAACCACCTGCAGGGAAAACAAGGTTTAAAGAACATGGATCAAGATCTGCTGGGCACAGGCAAACAGATGGTGGAAGTCTGGTGGATCTACTTCTGGCCTGGAGCCAGTTTGTGTGCCAGTGCCACTTAGCATTGGTTCCCATTTGCTTTGCATGTGCATTGGTAAGCTTTGCTGGCTCTGCGCATGGCTAACGATGGTTTCATGTGCTGTGCCAGAACTGGGAACGTGGTGCTGAGACTTCTCCTTGGCTCTGGATGGAGTCCTACGGCCTGATTAGTTTGGGAGGCTGCTGGTGGGAAGGGAGAGGAGGAGGTCAGAGAGGAGGAAGAGCACAAGTTGGAACCATTGTGAAGGAGTGAAAGGCAGCAAGAGTGATGAAGCCTTGTGACCAGGATTCAGGAGCCAATGAGTTAATGTTAAAGGACTGAAATAAACCCATCTATCCCGAGTGACTGATTTCTGGATCGTAACTGACCTGAAATAGAATAAAAAGATTAATGAGAATAAAACTGAATTGTTATAACCAGTCAGATTCTTCATTTACATAGCTCCTATAACTACAGGAATTGGCGGGGGGTTCTTTGCTGTTTTTGTTCTTCCTCTTCCCTTAGTGATACATGGTGGCATATTGGCTGGTTTAGGTCATTGTAGGAGTGTACTGCAGGGAAAAGCTGGTATTAAGATGACTGCGCAGAGAGGCTGAAAGTATTCTTTGGACACAAATTTAGATGCAGGAAGACACTTTGTCCGCCTGTGGTGAAATAGTTTTCAATGAGATGTTAGCCTACTGCAATGTTATATGAATTATCCAGGAGTTTTTCTGCTTCATGCTGATGTGCTGTGTTGGTGGCACCTGAAAGATATCTTATGGTTTGGACACATCACTGTCAAAGTCTGACATATGACAGTGGACAGCTATTATAGCGGGCTTTAGCTGAGGTCTCTCTGCTGGTGATAAAAGTCTTTTGGTGCTGGGCTATACTTCCAAACTCATGGGAGGAGTATGTATACTGTAAGTTATGGCTGGGTGCTGAGCTGATGGCATGTGGTGAGTTTATAAGGCTTTCATCATGGCCAGATGGTAAAGCAATATAAAATCAAGAGGTTGCTTTGCAGGGAATGAGCCAAGTAGCATCTTGTATTTGTGCTTAGTGTAAAGCATTAAGATCCATGTTTGTACGTATATATTGGTGGTCAGGTTTCTAAGGCATTTAAATTCCCATGGCACCTGCTGCTTTCACCTGCTGTTTAACATTGCTGAAAATTTAACTGTTCTTACAGGTTTTTGGGGTGTTTCTTCAGGCAGCACTGCTGGAAGATTTTCATCTGAGGTTCTACCAGCCCTTGGTATTTAGGACGATGGGTGGTTGGTAGTTACAATTCAGGCCTCAGAGAAGTTTATCAGTGAAGTGCTTGGTGAATGTTCCTGCGTAAATGGAAACACTGTTCCTAAATGTGCCCAGACCATGACTGAGGGTGAAGGGGTTGGAGGTGGAAGGCCACCTAGTCTATGGGCAGGTGCGGATTGGTCAGGTTGAACTCTGTGTGAAGAGAGGTAGAAATGGGAAGTAAGGAAAGGCTGGGAAAATGGGAACCTTGGTGGTGAGAGATCAAGGAGGAAAAGAAAAGGAGACTGTTCTTAGTGGGCTGCCGCCAGAATTAATTAAAACTAGTTGTGGAAATGTTGGAAATTGCTGAACTTAGAGTACTTCAGATTTTTTCCTTTGAAATTTTGTTGTTTGTTTGTTCTCTTGCTACTGTAACTCCAGCTAAGTATCTTTAACTTTTCTTTTTCTGAGTCATCCCTGCTTAACCCTGGAAAGCTGAACTTTTTCAAGCTTTAAACATGTTTGTCTGGCCAGGCATCTAGAGTTTCCACTGGTGCTTGAATTCCAAGAATGGGAAAATATTTTTAATCTCAGCTTTCCTCACTATCTCCACTCTGTTTTATAAGGAGGGTGTAGTCCTTTTATCTATTTTGTTTCCTCTTGTTTAAATCGCATTGGAGGCATCATTAGGCATCCAGTGCACTTCCCAGCTCTCCTTCAGCATTAGATTAGCGTGGACAAATTTCTGCAGCATCCTATTTTTGGAACGTGAAAAGTACATGGAGTCTCATAAGCTGTCGAATACAGTGTGATGTTAAAAAATTACTAGTTTATTGCATTTCATTAGCGTTCTGGAGCTTGACTGACAATATTTGCCATGAAACTTCCTCGAGAGAGAGAGGATGTTTTATGTTCTGGACCCTGTTTATTTTTTTCCTTACAGCTATACCGCATGGGGTCTATGTGATACTTGTCTATGCAAATTCCTGC